GTGATAAGCATAGCTATATAATTAATACCGTGGTATACATATATGCTTCTTACATATCTAGAATATAATTTCTTACTTCTCTTCTATGGAGTATGATTAAGTAAACTTGGAAATATCAACACCAGACATACCGCAGTCACCGGATCCGAGAAACCAATGAGAGAGAAAGAAAATGAAAATCGGTGACCGAGAAATGAAACAAGAGGGGACGAGATGGATGACATGAGTTACACCATTCATCAAAGCCTAGGAAATCAGCCCTGATGAAATTGATACATTGGCGGAGTTGTGACGAATGTTGTGATCAGAATATGAGTGAGTGATTGTATAGTGAGTTTTTCTCTTTTGGTAGAGAGGAGAGGAGAGGAGTATATATGTATGTATGTAGCATGCCGAGATATTATAATTGACTATTTGATAAAGGAGGGATGAATGATTTATGAGGGGAAATGAAACAACAAGCTTTTTCATATCGAATACACTAGGGAGGTAGACACTTGGTGAACCTTGCTATTCCGAGTCCCGACCTTCCTTGAGAGTGAGGAATTTATCAGTGGTAGGTATTATATTTATTGTATTGTATCGAAGGTCATTAACTTTTGAATAGATAAACATCAGGTAAACATCAGGTAAACATCAGGTAAACAGATAGGTAAATCGATCGTACCAATAATAACGGTTGCATTACCATTTTAATCCTTTTGATAGTACTGCCTAGTGGGAAGTAAACTTCATTCACTTTATGCGACAGAGATGTTCCACATCAATTTCGTAGCAATCTAGGCTATCACTAAGGCTACCATTATCACTATCATTATCACTATCATTATCACTATCATTATCACTATCATTATCACTATCACTATCTAGATGTCTATCAATGTCAGTGTCAGTGTCAGTGTCAGCATTCGCATCGGTATTAGGATCAGTTTCATTTCTTCTTTTTTGAATTTTCTTACTTTTCTCATCAAACCTTCACTCACAACACTCTCATCACACTCTCATCACACTCTCAATTTCCACCCTTCACTCTTCTGAAGGCGACCTTGTAACTTTAATCTTTGACTTGTGGCTCTGATGCCCATTCCAATTCCAATTCCAATTCCAATTCCAATTCCAATTCCAATTCCAATTCCAATTCCAATTCCAATTCCACCTCAACTTTGATTTGAAATGCTGCGCCACATTGATACATACATAGATTACACCAGAACTCAAATCCTCACCCTTTGAAGCCTGGATTGTGACAGGTGAAAAATAAACACGGAAAAAATCAAAGAGAGTAACCCATTTCTTTCTAGGGTGGCACACACTTAGAAACTCTTTTGCACTTGCCATTATTAGTGACTGCCTCACTACCTACTCACTCTGTACATGCATCACCTACCACCACCCACCACCACCCACCTATCACACTTCATTCAGCTCTCCCATCCATCTCGAAAAAAAGAGCTAAAAGCGCTCTTTCTTTCCGTAAAAGGCTGGGCTGGGGTCACACTCATTTCTTCCCCCCTCCCCCCGTTCACTCTCTCCAAATCCAAATCATAATCCCAGTCTTTCTTGTCATTCGATTCCTTCCATAACTTCCCCAAGAAAAAGACAAATCCCTTTTCCCCACACCCTAAATTCTAGGTCGAACATCCATCTTCATTCATTGTCACCAGTCTTTTAGAGACGACCCCGACCCGACCCAACCCATTCGCCTTTCATACCACCGCCCTCCATCTCGTGCGTGCGCTGCCTCTCAATTACTCTCCTCCATCTCTCAACCACGTGCTGAATTATACTGGTCAAGGGAATGCTTCTCAGCTTTGCTATTTGCAGGAGATTATTCATCGTCCAATGGGCATGCCAATTTCTATCCACGAAAATCCGGTGATCATTAACGATCTCGACTTACATCAAACCCATCCTCACTTCCTCCAACGTCCATTAATTCGCCACGCCAACCTGACGACCAATTCTATTGCACCATGGTAATAGCCATGACCTGGCACAAGCCCGATAATGTTGCCGGCTCATCGGCGCCGGCTATCATGATAGGTTTGTTCGTCGCGACAGGAGGTCTCTTATTTGGTTATGATACTGGGTGAGTAACTGGCGCGGGAAACAATTCAAGACTCGATGAAAGCTGACATACGGGATTCAAGTACAATATCTGGAGTAGTGGCAATGCGTGCCTTTCGCGAACAATTCTCAACTGGCTACCTTGATCCTTCCGACAAAGAATTATCCATATCGCCTAGTCAATCCGCCCAAATCGTTGCGATCTTGAGCGCCGGAACATTCTTCGGAGCATTACTTGCGGCGCCCATGGGTGATCAAATTGGTCGACGGATATCTCTCATCATTTCTGTCGGTATATTTTGCATTGGGGTGGCACTTCAGACGGCTGCAATGCAGATTCCGATGCTTATAGCTGGACGGTATATTGCATTGTTTCGAGTCTAGTATACAAAGAAGACTGACAATTCTATAGATTCTTTGCAGGCCTAGGCGTTGGAATTATATCTGTTCTCGTTCCTTTGTATCAATCAGAAATGTCACCGAAATGGATTCGCGGAACTCTTGTATGCACATATCAACTCGCCATCACTTGTGGACTTCTTCTCGCCGCCGTCGTCAACATATTTACCCAAAGTATTGATGGGCCAAGAGCCTTTCGAATTCCTCTTGCAATACAATTCGTTTGGGCAGGCATTCTCTTCCTTGGCCTTGCTTTACTACCCGAAACACCTCGATATCTCATCAAACGTGGTCAACATCAGGCAGCCGCTTCATCTTTAAGTCGCCTTCGTCGCCTTGACATAACGCATCCTGCTTTGATAGAAGAATTGGCGGAAATTGAAGCGAACCATGAATATGAGTTGAGTCTAGGTTCTTCATCATATAAAGATATCTTCCTCGGTTCGCCGCATCTAGGTCGTCGACTTCTAACCGGTTGCGTACTACAAATGCTTCAGCAGTTGACTGGATGTGTAAGTACTTCCCTTTCAATGATGAATCAAATCACTAATAAACTGAACAGAACTTCATCTTCTACTAGTGAGTATTATTAACGTTACTCTTTGTGGTATCGCATGCTCTCTTTGAAATATGCAGTGACTGACTAGCCATTCTAGTGGTACGACTTTCTTCAAGAATGTCGGAATTTCGTCACCTTACGTAATTCAACTTATTTCAAACATAGTCAATACTGTCTCAACCATTCCGGGAATGTTTCTAGTCGAATCGTTGGGTCGTCGTCGTCTTCTTATGCTAGGTGCAGCAGGAATGGCAGTTTGTCATTTCTTGATTGCATCGGTTGGAACTGCAGCACACGAAGAAGCGAGAGCAGTGAATCTAGTTATTATTGTGTTCGTTTGCCTATTCATCTTCTTTTTTGCTTTATCTTGGGGACCAGTCGTTTGGGTCGTCACATCAGAAATCTTCCCATTGAAGGTTCGAGCCAAGTCCATGTCGATCTCCACCGCTTCGAATTGGCTTCTCAATTTCGCCATCGCTTATAGCGTTCCATATATGACTAGCAGCGGACCTGGTTACGCAAATCTTCAAGCAAAGATATTCTTTCTTTGGGCTTGCTTTTGTGTAATCGCGTTTGCATTCGTATGGGGAATGGTATACGAAACAAGCAAAATCAGTCTCGAGCAGATTGATGAGTTGTATGAACGAGTCGAACATGCTTGGAATAGTAATGACTTTGAACCTAGTTGGAGTTTTCAAGAAATGCGAGATGAAGGTGTATCTGCAAGTGGAATCCAACTACAGCTACAACTTGCTGATCAAGAAGAACCGAGGAGACGAACAGGTACAAGTGCTAGTGCAACAGGAAGTGAGGGTACTATGTCTGAGGAAGACAAAATCGTTGCGGGATTAGGAGATGTGGATTTGAGTTATTAATGACTTTTCGAGAGCTATTCAGGGCTTTGGGTATTTTAAGTACAGTATTATATTATGTTTCAAGCGACGGAGTTTATTGCTGTTGGAGTTTTATGGAATGGAATGGATGGATGGTAGGATGGTTTGCGTATGGAATGCGTATGAATTGCGTATGGTGCAGGGTGGGACATGAAATATGGTTGGCCTTTGGGGTTGGGTTGGGAATTGCGATTGGGGATCTTTCTGGACGAATGGGTCTACAGTATCTACCGCAGGCGAAATTTAGGGAATGTTCAAGAATGGGGATGGGATGGGGTTTATACCAAATGCAATGCAAATGAGCATATATTGCCCAATAGCGATGTCGGGCGATATATATGATATACCGGATAGGAACTAGCTGGCTAACTGAACCGGATCAGATATTATCTGAAATGGATCGACATGGGTTGGTCTAGCATGGGATGGGGGTTCTTTGTGCGCATATTGAGAACGATTTGATACTTGTGGGTGTAGTATGAAATGATAATTCTTTTTTATATCAAAAATCAAAGTGATGATGTTCACTTTTTAATGCTTGCTTATATGTGTCTAGGTATGTGTCGATTTGAATGAGCAGTCAAGATGCGGACAAAGAAGTCTTACATTAGGGGTTCTTATTAAAAGAACAAATGATTAACAATTAATACCTAGATATACAAATTCCCCATTCATGCACATCCCCTTCCGCTTCTCCTCCACGTCCACATGCACTTTTCTCCTTTTTCCATTCTTCGATCAGCCCTCATACGGAGCCGAAATTTCACTAAATAGATCCCGCGTTTTGCGAAGCGCGTTTAAAGGATCGCGAGGGTGTTTAGATTCAGAGGTAGGGGTGGATTTGGATTTGGATTTGGGTTTGGGTTTGGGTTTGGGTTTGGATTCACTTCTTTCTAGAGAGTTTTGGCGTTGTTTGGGATTGGTAGTGGGGTTGGAGGTGGAGCTGGAGGTGCTTGATCGTGAGGGTGGAGGGAGAGGAGGCGCGGAATGAGTACGAGGAGGATGGAGTTTGTGGCTGCGATTATTGGGGTTGAGGGGTTGGGAGGAGGGGGAGTGGGCGGGGGAATGTGAAAGGGTTCTTTTTAATTCGCGTGTGGATTTGGTGGTGGATTTGGTGGTGGAATTGGAAGTGGATCGGGATCGGGATTGGGATTGGGAAGGCCCGCAGGATTGCGATCGAGATTGGAGTTCTGAACTTTCGTGGTTAGTTCTTCCCTGGGACTGGGAGGAATCTCTGGGGATTTCACGGCTGCTTTGGGGGTTTTCTCGGAGAGTTCTGGTTCTGGTTTCGGTTCTTGTGGGCAGGGATTGGGATCTTGGGGGATGAGGGGGGGAGGAGGAGGAGGAGGAGGAGGAGGAGGATAGCGCTAAGGCTTTTAAACAATACATGTGACGGTTTGATCGCGCGAGATCTTGCCGGCCGCGCTCGTAGAGCTCGGAGATGTCGATGGTGGAGAGGTTGTCGTTATTCTCGTTGGGGGGTTGTTTTTGTTGGCTCGCTTTTTGGAGGGGGAATGCTGGTATTGATTGTGTGGAAGATTTGGGCCAGGAAGGTGGAGGGGGTGAATTGCTGGGGTGGGGAGTGTTAGTTGGGATGTGGAGTGGAAGGGTAGAGAGAAATGAGGAAGAATGGAGATGAGAAAGAACAAAAAGGAGAAAGAAAGACTTACCGGACCACCTTTCTCCTTCGATCTCTTATACAAATCCTGATATTCCCGCAACAACACTCCATCTTCCATGATGGTGATGTTTTTCTCCCACCATATGCATGGGATGGCGGGTTGGTTGATGTCGACTTCGTATTCTTCCCAGTGCTTGGAAAAGTGCGAACGATTGATGCTAGCGGCGAAGTGGGGGCTTGGGGTTAGGGAATTTTGGGGAAGGGGGTGGAGATGGACTGGGGGAGGAGTGGATGAGTGCTGGGGTGGAGGGGAGAAGGTGAGACATTTGCCACGGGCGTAGAGAGTGTTGTCTATGGTGGTGAGGGAGCCGTGGGTCCAGGAGAAGAGGATGAAGTTTGGGGGGGAAGAGGAAGAGGAGAGTTTGGGATTGGGGATTATGTAGAGACCTGATTTATTGGGGCCGGAGTGGTTGGTTAGTTTTAGTAAGGTGCGGGTTTCCTTCCAGATCCAAGATTCTTGGGAGTTGCTGGGTTGGATCTGGGAGACTTGGAGAAGGATTTTGAAATTGGGATTTTGGGTTTGAGGGGGAGTTTCTGGGGGTTTTTGAGGTTTGTGATTTGAGGTTTGTGGTTGGGGATTGGGATTGGAATTGGTTTTGGTTTTGGATTTCTTGGTTTTAGGGGGTTTGAGATTGAGACTCTCGAGCCAGAGGAGGAAGAGGGGTGGGAGAAATAACTATTGTTGTTGAATGTATATGTTAGTAGGTGAGTGAGGAAACTGTGAGTTTTTATCCTCAAAAAGGGGACGGTACAAGATGAATAGTTTATAGATATCAGAGCATCATCATCTTCATCATCATAATATCACATCACCCAACATCATATAACAAAGAAAACATACCTCGTCAACTGGAATTTCCCCCCTCCTCACTCTCTCCCCAAACTCCCTCAACAACCTCCTCATCCCAATACTCTCCCTCACTATCCCAAACTCCTTCACCCTCTTGATCATCGCTTCCCCATTATCCGAATCGGGGCAGCGCTCATATATATCCGGCTCGATATCCAATTCCCGGAGCTGGAAATCGTAGAGTTTGCGTCGGGAGAATTTCGAGATGGAGTGGGAGTGGGAGGAGAGGCGCGATTCTAGAATCGCTTGCTCGTGGAAATCGATCGTGTACCAGTGAGTGGGCGATTGGAGAAAGATGGTCCAGGGAGTGCGGATGCCGGGCTTGGAAATGTTTTGGTGCGGGGTTTGCGTGTAGTGGAGGGTGCAGGTGGGGATTTCGGGAGGGGACATGGGGGTTGTGGGAGAGGGGGGGTTGCTGTCTTTTGTGTGTATCTGTGTGTGTAAGAGAAGGAAAGAGAAAATTGGAGAGTTGGGATGATGATTTAATGGGCTTTTGTTACAATTTGTACATGTGGAAGGGCAAACTAATAACCAACATCTCGGTCGGTCGGTCATATGTTTGGATGTTGGGGCTCGAGACCAGAGACCGCGCCCATGTATCGTGAATCCTATCTTTGATGAAAGATGTTGAGGTCTACTTTTGTGGCTTTGGTTTAAAAGGGCCGGGTTGAGGATTTTACTAGAGCTTGTTGTGTCTGAGTATTTTTGAGTGTATTTTGTATAATGATAGTCGGATTGTATGGGAGTAGAACCTGGAGGGATAATGGAGCGTTAAGAGTGTTGGATTTATGGGATATTTACCGTATGATAATATGGGCTTGAGGTAAATGAGGCAGATGGGAATATGAAAAGGAGAGGATCTTCATTGTAGGTCTGCATATACAAATCAGCTATAAAGATTGTTTCCGGGACTTCCCCCTTTGTCTTGCTCTAATTTGAATAGATGCGTAGGTAGACAGAGAGTGAGTATACTAGTATGGATAGATGTTTAGTTGACTTGTAAGTTGATCGTACTCTCTGCGGACCTCGGGAAGTGCTGGATTATATCTCTGCTGGATATTCGTCAGCTTACCTAGGTACATGATGGCGATTCTTCAAGTAATTGATGAGGACGAAGCGATGGATCAGGGTGTCCAATAGTTGAACTACAAGCCAATAATGAAGACTGTCACATCCCTAAATCAATTAGAACAATCAAACTGTCTGAGATATTGGATTTGATTGGAACATTGAAGTATTATCAGATTTCTAACTGCTTTTAGAGACTCAAAGTCTTATGTTGTTGGACTGTAGTTTGGACTATTAGATACTCTGTGATGGGCTACAGACGCCATACACTATTTCCTTTCCTTTCCTTGAACTACGGATGTGCATCAAATGCACCAATTATAAATAGATACCCAAAAACGGATATCTACTTCCCAGAGCCTTATAGTGCATCCGGCATTGCTCTCGATCAGTCTCAAGATATTCAATAAATCACCCCGAAGATAAGATTTCCAGCCCGTGCACTCTAATTAGCTCCGGGTATTTAGTTCACATCCACGCAGGGTATTGATACCCGTAACCACTCAAATCATCTCATCCCCAAGCGCCATCGATATCGTTTTCTTACCATTTCCTAATTCCCCCTAGTTCTTACTCTTCACCCCCCAAAAGCTTCATCCCCGCACTTTCATTGGTTCTATCCTCAATACCTCACTCAACCTTTCACATCGACATGCAGGCTCAGCGCTTAAATCAGCTCTTCTTGATAACTTCTCATTGGAAGGTTGAATTCTTTCCACCCCTCCTTCACTCCTCCCTTGTACACCATCTAAAATGTGCCTTTCCGTTGTATTAATAAATCATGGATGGCCCAGCCGTTCAGAAGCTCGTTCACGAAGATTTCTATCCTCTTGGAACTTGGAGAGACGACGTTCTGATTTCTCGATATTTCGATGCCTGTTCGATATCGACGGTGTATAATATAATTACATTATTTGATCGCTGGCGATTGACTCATATGTCATTACGCAAACACTGAACGAAATATCTCTATCGATCCAGCTTATTATTCTCGCATTACGATAATCTCACGACTTATCTCCCGATCAATTCGCGATTTTCAATACATTCATCATGGTTTTCGGATGTCTTTCTTCACCTATCATGAAGCGGAAATGGAAGTTTCCCAAGGTTATCATCTGGCTTAATGTAATCGAACTCGCGGGAACCGTCGCAGCACTCGTCATGTTCGGTATCGCAGATCCAGATTTATATCGCACGAAAATGTGGCAAATTGGTTATGATAATGGATTTAACAGTAGCCCGGATGAGGTTCTATATGCTTATGCGAATTATCGTCCGTTGCCAAAGATTGCTTTTGTTTGGAGTCAGACGTGAGTTTTATTTCTTTCGTCGGAGGATGTTTAAGATGAGAGGAGTATCTTGAAAATAATCCAAGCTGATTTCGTCCTTTTTAAATATAGATTACAAAATTTCAATATTGGAATCTCGGTTCTTACTATGTTCATTCAACTTTGCAAAGTTGTCATGTTCATTATGCACATTTGGTATCCTCTTCTCTCGACTATTATAAATGGACTTCTTACAGTCTGTTGGATTGTCAGTATATACGGACAAGCCGGACCGGATCATACGGATCCAGATCATCCAAGCAATGTGGCTTGGTATATTGCAAAGAGCTGTTCATATGCTGCACCTAGTGGAAATGAACATTATTGTCAAATGGCAAAGGGGGCTTTTGCTGTTACAGTATTTATGATGTATGTCATTATTTATCTGATTCTATTTACTGTGAATCCATGTCTTACAAATGAATAGGGTCATCTTTCTCGCAAACACAATTCTCGGTATCCATTCTCTAATTCCTTCACGCCTCGAACGTTCAGTCAATGCACTCGATCTCGAAGATAATATCGAAACATCTACCAAAGTTGGCAAGAGAGTAAAGACAACGGATTCCCCGGATTCGGAGAGACAATGGGAAATGCAGAATATGCAACAAAGTATGGATCCTTCCAAACAACCTTTTACACCAAGAACTTTGGCTTTCAAATCTTTGGATAGACAATTACCTTTGAGGGCTACTTCGGCACCGAGATTTGCGTAAATATTGTTGTGGATCTTGGGTAGGGAGTTTGTGAATTGATTATTATTGGGAGGGGTGATTATTTGGGATTGTCAAGAGGTAAATAAGACCACAGTTTCGGGACGAATTTGTTTCATGATTTGGGATGGCCAGAAAATGGACCAGCGAGAAGGAAACATGGACAAGAATGGGTACGGAGAAGCGAACGTCGATTGAGATACCAAGGGAATGAGAAGGAATTTGTATGATGTGTTTTAATGTTCACGAGATACTGAGAGACTGGGTTCTTGTTTTTTCCTTCTATGTTTATATCATTTGGGTAGTTTGATAGGTAGTATCCTGCAATGTGCAGGTTATGAGATTTCTCATTCAATACTCAAGGGATCTTATTGTAGTATTTTTTGAGGGGTGTGATCTGTGGTTGTGATTGAATCGTGAATATTTGAAGGATGATCGAAACTATGGTGGTTAGGTATGGCATAAGGACATATTGAAGTATTATTCCAATAGGTGCCTAGGTACCCGATTAGTAGGTACATAGATGTTTCTGTTAGATGTGAAATATTTCAGACTAAAGATTATGGCAGACCAATGCAATTGATGGATTTGAAATACTTGGGACTAAGAGTTGTGACGGACCAATGTAATCAATGGATCCCAAATATTTCGAAATATTTAGGAACCAAGGTTTAGCGAGCCAATCGACACAACGCATCTGAAATATTTCGACGTATTTCGATTATCTAAGGATGGTGAGCCAACTGGAGGGGTGAATCTGAAATATTTTAAACCACCACAATGGCCTGGGTATAAGGTTACGTCTACTAGGTACTTTAATTGTGTTTTGTGGTAATGTGTATTGTTGGATTGGTAGGTGGGTAGGTAGGTGGGTAGGTGGGTATGTATGTAGGTATGGATTTCTTTGGGAGGAGGATTGTTTGGTGGTGGGTGTAGAATTTTGAGAGGGCGAGAGGAGAGTTTGGGGATGGAGGGGTGAGGAGGGAGTGAGTGAGTGGGAGGAAAAGGAGGATGTGAGGGATGGGAATTGGGGAGGGGCGATGAAGGTGAAGAGGGTGGTGAAGTGGAGGGGTAGAGGAAGAGAATGAGGAGAATGGGGAATGGAGGGTAGAAAGAGAAATTGTGGTTTGAAATTTTATTGTGGGTTGGTTGGTGGTTTGTCGGGATGGTTAGGTGATGTGGAGAATTTTAAGGAGTGAGATGGGAAGACGATGAGAAGGGAGGAAGAAAAGTAGGGTGGAGCAGGCTGATGGTGGATATGATGGATTGGGGTGGGATAAATTTAGGGAGGTATTATTGTGGGTGGGTGTATATGTACCTCGGTATGTATTTCTGTTCAGTGTATTGTATGCTGTGAGGGATTGAAGATTTGATGGTTAATGGGTAATCGTTGTGGTTAGCACAAGGGTGTATCTGCGATTGTGAGGTTGACTGAGATTATGGGTATAATTGATCTAGTCCGGGATTGAGCCTAGTGACGGAGATAGCAGGTCGAAGATGTGGGATTTGTTTGAGAGAGAAACAGGGGAGGTATGAATGAGAAGATCTAGGGAATGGGGAAGAAATCGGCGGGGTGTGGGAAAGGAGGAAGTTTGACAAAGAGCCGACAGCGGGGAACTCAAGGATTTAGTGCAGCGGAAGGAGGACGAGGTGAGAACGATAAAAGAGATGGATGAGAAAGTGAAGGTCAAAGTGAAAAAATAGGTTATACAACGAGAAGAGGGAACGAGGGAGATGGACAGTGTTTGTACTAGTATACAGTAGTATAACAATAGCATATATCAAACCCTTAATATAATACTTTGTATACAAAAAAAGAGATTATATTACTTTTATCGATATTTCATATATCGAATATTACTAGAAAAATATGGCAGTACGGGAATTCGATTTGGAATATTCTTTTCTATCTCAAAGTGAATTAGGAATTTATCAATATCTCTTAGAATACCTATTCCCACATCTATTTCAAAATAAAAAGGAGCATTCCAAATCGAATTCCCGTATTCTCATATTTTTCTAGTAATATTCGATATTATTTCAATATTGAATATCTTTAGTGATATATAGATCGATATTATCTATATGAATATTTTAGAAAAGATCGATATATACCATTATACAAACCAATATACGGAATACGAGCAATACCAGTAAGAACACTGGAGATGGATAAACAGAATTGGATTCGAAGTTGAATAAGAATTTACTCGTGTGAAAATGCTTTGGGGGAATGAAAGGGGGGTTTGAGTTAAAGATCATAATGATTTTGACGATGATGATGATGATGATGATGACGATGACGATGTTTCTTACAACGGTCTTCTTGGAGGCTTAAACATAATGTTCTAGGTGACCTAAGTTTCGAGGACGAGATGAATGTATTTGAGCTCGACCATAGGGAGAAGAGGGAGGGGGAAGTCGAGAGGAAAGAGAGAAAGTCGAGAAGAAAGAGAGAAAGTCGAGAGGAAAGAAAGGAAGTCAAGACGAAAGAGAAACGGGAAAGACAAGTACAATCGCAAGTGCGCAAACATCTAGAACCGAAACCAGAGCGGAAGGATTCATTAGGTTCGTGATGAACGAAATAGGATGTCACTAGATCTTCAAGTAAAAGGGGGAATGCAAAGAGACAAAACATCCCGATGTGGTTGTCATCGTAGACTTACCTCACGCCGAGCTCTCAAATGTGTTGGATCGGAGGGTCCTGGGAGATATGTGATCTCTTTCATAGGTCAAAGATGTTTCTTACTTTACGGTTACAGCGCGGATAAAGTAGGTAGGTAGGTAGGTAGGTCGTCCACACCTAAAGCTCACAATACATCATATTATATTATAATACAACAGATCACATCACATCATCAACCAAGCATGCATGCACGCAAACACACAAACTCCGTTTTGAATAATCGAATAACAATTCAATTTAATGCAACGCAACGCAACACCGCATATGCATCTATTAAGCCAGAGAAACAAATCAGAAATCAGAAATCGGAAGGAATGAATGAATCAACCCCAAAGAGCAGAATCAAGAAAGAAGTGAAAACTATCTAAACCCTCTCTCCCAGTCCCGCATCATCCAGAGCCCCAAAAAGCAAGAGAAATAAGATAGATCGAGGGAGTAAATTAAAGCAGCGCCAGTTACTTAATACCAGCAAGCGAGTAAGCAAGTTTGAACTCCTCTCTATATCTAGGTATTATGCTGGATTTCCGAATTTCCCACGAACAATGAGTGGAAAATAGATAGAAAAAGGAGGGGAACAAATGCCAGTAACTTGATACCAGCACTTTTGCTCTCTTTGTTTTTCTCTCTCTCTGTCCCCAATCTCTCTCTATTCCCAATTCCTCTCTATAAACTCCCCAGTTAAACTCCCCAGTTAAAAGCCTCATCCCATCCCACCCAGCAAACATAAAAAAAGAAAAGATTCAAAAAACGCCAATAACTTAATACCAGCAAGTAAATTTCAACTCCTCTATATTCTAAACTCCATCCACGTGTGTATATGTGTATCTATCTATCCATCCATTTTCCAAAAATAAAATAGAGTAATATGAAATAAAATGAAATGAAAATCTGGCCAAAGAAATAAATGATTGAATAGATGTAGATCTCTCCGCTCCTCCATGGATCGAGACATCTGTGCTGTAGTGTAAATATCTAATCAGAAAAGAAGTGAAGTGAAGTGAAGTGAAGTGGAATGTATCGTATCATATCGTAACGCAATAAAGCCATCTTTTTGCCCAAAGAAAGAAGGAAATAAATGAAATGAAGAAATGAACCAAAGAAAAAAGTATCAGTGTGTAGATAGCTTCAACCAGCGAGAAGAGCTTGCTTTACCTAGGTAGGATATGCAAGTATCGTTGTTGATTCATGTTCCAGAAGTGGTTTTGTCGAGATCTCGAAATCGATATCGTTGGAGTCTAGTTGAGATGAAGGAAGATTTCATCGGGGGTGATATCGTAATTCCCTTCTCCTGAACCATGGAATCGAGTCGAGAACTCTTTCGTTCAACCTAAGAATTGAATGTTGGGGGCAAGGATGAAAGATCTATGTTTGTTGGGATGTAGGAGATGCATGTAATTTCGTATCGAGAATGCATCATCGATGAAAGAAGAAATCGATGGGATTAAAGCAAAGCAATAAATCCAGCACCATCAACCTCATCAAGATCCAAAAGGAATCTACCAATGTCCCCTAAAGGTAGCCGGTACACCATGACCATTAATTCGATCTTCCCGGAAAGAATCCCATTCACTATGTTTTCTTCCACTTTCAATCCACAATTTATCCTGGACCGTCGCCGCACGAATTCCATACGCGCCTCTTCTGCCCAAAGCCTGATTGCTAATTGGGCGTTGCACTTCATCGATTTCATGAAAAATTTGACGACTCTCATCGAGCTCTCTCTTCTTCTGTAGTATTCGCGCCAGTCGTCTGATCCGGCAACCTTCAGGTACACTCTTGAAGGTGCGGAGAAATTTGCCTATATCATTGGTATTCCATTCTCCTTGGACTGGACCTCCGGGAACACTAGGAAGGAGGGGCTCCCAGCACCATGCTTTGATGATGCTGAACTTTTCTAATTTGTAGTGGTCGTTTTCCTGGTTTAAGTATTGAAATAATTTGCAGGCTTGACAGATGGGTTGGTCGACGGGATCGAGTTTGTATTGTCGGATCATTTGGTAGGAGAACCAGACTCCGGGGAGGAGATGTCCGCATTGACAACATACAAAGCCTTCTGCCATCCTGGAGAAAGAATGTTGTTAGTTTGATGATATATGAATGATGGGAATGTCTGAAGAAAAGGAGTGGTAACATACCATTTCACACCCTCGGTTTTATTTGCAATGCCTTTTCCTTTTAAAGCCTCGTGATATTTCTCAACCTTGCCACCAAAATCTTGATATGCAACATGAGCAATAATATGATCGACTGTTACGTCATCATCCATAAGAATCTTGAGAGTTTCCTCTACCAGCATACAAGGTGACTTATCCAACCATTGTCTAAACATCGTATGTTTAGAAACAAAATTAATACCCTGAGCTCTCGACTGACGAAGAAGACTATGAACTTCCTGCCAGATGGCAATTCGGATATCAGCAACATGCATACCAGGATCATCCCAAGTAACACCATATGAATACTCTCCCCCTAATCTTCTCTCTCCTTTCTGATCACCAGCTTGATGAAAGGGGTAAGGACCAACGTGGTATGCTGGATAGAAATCTAAATCGACTTGGTGTTCGCAACCTCGAAGACGATCCCGTGTGATGATGCTGAGGAGTTCGATACCATCACCGAGATGAATCAATTCACAGTTGTAGACACCGAGGGTTTTGAGCTTGCGTATTTCGGGAATGACTAAGGCGAGAATGTGGGTGGTGAGGAAGGGAACGTGATGTAGTTGGATGTTTTGGAGGAATTCGCTGAAGTTGTGCATAGCCATACCTGATGAGAGTAGATTAGTGATTTGATTTGATTTGAAGAAGAGAGAGGAGGAAAGAAACTTACACATGTTATTCAAGTTCTCGATTTGACTAACATAATTGATAGGTTCCGTATCCCTAGTAGGTGTGACGACCACAACTGAAGCTGCTCTAGCATCGAAGTCATTCTCCTCTCTCGGCGCATCGCAGCCTTCGAAACAACCTCCAGTCATATCCCAGATACCCTTTACAACTCAGTCAGTCATGCACATAGTGCATTAACAATAAGACAAATCAAAACTTACAGTAATAGCCATCAAAACTTCCCATGTTCTCTGACTAGTTCTGGAAAGAGCAGAAGCATTGCTATGGTTCTCCCAAATATATTTGAGAAGAATGGCATCGATACCTTCTATTTGAAGTACTTTGATTAATGTACTTTGCTCTTGATTATGTTTGGGATGCTTGAACACATTTTCCCTCCAGTTAAAAACAAATGGTCCCTAGGTATGTAGTTAGAATAGTCTCATCATAAACAGTGAATGAATATCATACCACTGAAGCCAACTTCTTGAATCTATCTTTTTCGCCCGTGAAAGGCCAGTTAACCAAATTGGGAAAAGGTTCTACCGGTTCTGTGACTTCTGGTACATCGTCCCAAGCATTTGCTGCAATAGTATCTTTCTCAGCAACTACCGCAGGTTGAACACCCCAGTCAAGATTTGCAACAACGTTATTCGGATTTTCCTGTTTGGGAGGAGTAGGAAATGCAATGGTAGTTGGGACTGTAGCCCAAGGACTCTTAGTAGCTGGTGGACTTGTCACATCAGCAGAAACTGCAACATCTGGACTTGAAGGAGCCGCCTGAGTGAGAATTGCAATTGCTCTCTTTTTGGTGCACCACGGAACTTCAACTGATTTGAGTGCAGGATTGATGGCATATGCAGGGAGTGTAGACCATTTTGCATTTTCGGGTATAGTAGACCATGCTGTTGGGTCAAGATCAGAAGAAGGCTGGAATTTGGCAGTGCCAGGAAGAGGAGGATGTTCCCAAATGGATCCTTTAGCAGGTACCGAATTATTGGTGTAATACCTCAAAACGAATTTGTTTGAAGTGGAACCTGGAACAAATGTAGTCGCAGTGGAGTTATCATTTTCCTCTGCAGGCTTTTTCTTGGCAGTCTTTGCAGATTTACCAGCAGTTTGTGCTTTTTGCTGATCCAGAGAAGGCCAGATCCATATATTTGTTTCATTATGAACTTCAGGGACGAATTTCTTTGGGGCTTGCTTCCAAATTGGTCCTTTTTTCGAAGTAGGTGTTGCATGTGTGATCCACGATTGTTTACCACTATGTTGACCCTCGTTGGCCTTGACTTTGGGTTTATTTCTGTTACCCATAATGAACGGTGTATCAAAGATCTAGTAAAAGTTAGAATGGAACTTTTCCGACTGGATAATGGTGGCCGAAGATAGAAATCATTGGGAGGTATAGCACATGACGAATCTCGGGAAATGGCCAATGCGACCGAAAGAAAATAAGGGGCAGTGTATTCTAAGAACAAAAAAGCTTCATCAAGAACTTACAGGTATGTAACTGTTCAATCTATGCAATGCAAAGCACTTTGAATCGACCAGCAAGAAATACTTGAAATATCAAGCAAATGTAGTAAGACTAATGGGATGTTATGCACATAAATGGTGCCTGCTTTGTTTGGCACAGCCTGAAAAACGTATTAGCATCAAATCGAGATGATGAACGAAACTTGTTAAAAGGTGAAGTGCGGGGTAATGATAATGGAAATGATTAGAGGATGGGAATTTTAACAAGCTATAAATTCAGGGGTTTGGAAGAAAGAGAGACTTCTTTTAGAGAAAAAGGAGGACGACATGAAAGATGATGATTTTATGAGGGCACATGTAAACGAAACTTACAAATCTTTATGTACTTCGTAAATTCCCTGTCAAGAAATCAAAGCGTCACTTGTGATGAAGATACTTTGCCTTCTATAAGACTCAAAAAGACAAGCTCGATTTGAGGTCTGTCAAAGAAAAAGAGGTCAAGGGAAGTAAGAAAGATATCTCAAAATTTGAGGTAGAAGACGGCGCGCGTCTTGAAGATATCAAGAAAAAGAGATAGTAAACACAGAAGCGCAAAGAATCAATAGCCAAGGAAACTTGCAAAGATCAAGAAGCTATCAAGTAGGAGGTGGATGGAAGTAAAGGTTTGGGGATTGGGATTGGGATTTGAATTCGAGATGGAAGAGTGGAGGATGGAGGTTGAGTGGAAGATAGAGGTAGAAAGAAGAGAATGGATAGAAGATTGAGAAGAAAATGATAAGGTTCCAAATCGAGAGAACCAAATATCATGCTTCAAACCACCGGGGTCATTCGGATAGAAAAACCGGGGGTTTCTATTTTTGGAACAAGGGGAAGCGGGGTTGGATGGTAAGATATCCACTGTGCGACGACGAGGTGGCTATTTACAGTGAATGTTGTTGACTGTGAATCATATTTGAAGGGATAGTGAATGCCGAATCAGGCAGCAACGATTCTAATCATCCCATTTTGCAATTTGAAAGGAAAGTAAATGATGGCTAAAGATGTTTATTATATGTTGATTTACTAACAAGCTGGAATGGAGAACCAATTAGGCTTTGGTGACCTCCCTTCAAAGTGTTCACATCTACTAAAGAAAATCCATTGTCATCTCACATAAACTCAGGGGCACTTGAAGTATACAATCCAGTATCAAATCCAGTATTAGGCAAAGCAATTCACAGTTTTAAAAGCATTAATCTACTTCTAGCTTGATTTGAGTCCTCAATTCCAGAACAAAAGCTCATTCCTTTTGACTTCAAGATCCTTCACTGACATTGCCGATTTCCCTCGAAGTTTTGATAGAGAACAAGTATTTTGATGTCAGCCATAGACATGGATAAGATCCAACAAGAAGATTCACTACATGTCCCTAAGTGACCTTCACATTTCTCGTCCTCTATTTTTCCGCCGCTGCAAATTCTTCCCCCTATGAAATCTTGACTGTCTGGAAAAATCAGGATCATGATTATTATCTCAACACAAAAGGAACGTAAACTCCTCACATCCACCTTGAGATAGAAGAGTTAAATTTGATATCACCATCAGGATTATGATGGGTATGGAGCCCCCCAACGAATACCAACTGCTTGAACAATGAAAAGGTTTGACTGCTTACAGAAGTGAATTGGTGAAGCAAAATGTGGTTCACACATAATGCACACTTCAGAGGTGAGTTAATAGAAATACATGCTTCACATAACAAACAAACTCCAAAGAAACACCTAAAACCAGTGGAAAGCATTAGATATCAAAGACATCAATACAGAAACTCCCTAGTCATCAACATCACTTCAGTCCACGACGAACCTACCATTCTAAATCAAAACTTTGAAACTATAGAAGAACATCGATTCCATCCATAGCAACCGCATACCAAAAGAACTGATAAGAATCATCACTTGTACAACTCTTTAACAGTAACCAGCAGAGAAGATCTCATCATGATTTATACCGAGGATATAAAATGAATTTCACTTGTGCAACTTTCAGAAATGACATGGAGTCTGGTCTCATCAACACCAGATGAGAGTTTCTGAAACTACTATAGAGTAAGGAAAACGACGACAGCGACAGTAATCAATGTGAAAATGATCTTGATAAAGCATTTCACTCATGAAGAATTCCAAAACTGAATTTCAAAACAATAACGATGTAGATGGCAGCAATAGCAATAGCAAAAGCAAAAATAAATTGATCTCATCAGCAGCAACAAACTAAAAACACAAAAACTCAAGCAAAAATAAACCTCACCATCCCAAACCATCAAATCCTCCTCCTCCAATCAAATCCCCATTCGCATATGAGCAGTACATGAGCGGTGAGTAATCACCCGTCCTCCCCAGCAACCTACCTTTTCCCTTCCCATTTCCCATTCGTCGCGGATCACATCGCCCAAAAGCGAAGGCAAGCGACAAAGTGTGATTGAAGTGCGATGATGCAACACTTTGCAAGAATCTCTCGGCATTGCGTTTTTGCATGGATATCCCATCCCATTTCCCCCAAAAGCACATGTATGGTTGACATTCGACCTATCAAGAATTTTTGTAGAGCGCCAGGGGTGTTCACACCGCGTGTTGAAGATACCTACCTACCGTACTTTGAACCAACTTCCTTGACACAACCTTGATAAACGTTTTTGGTCATTCGCGAGTGCGAGGTTTGCAGGATGGGGATCGAGAGGTTAGTTTGGTGTACTTCGTATGGGTTAGAAATAGTAGGAATGAACGATGTTGATTCATATCTGAGTCATGTTACCCCTCGGTGTACATCTGTGGTGTTGCGATTGGACAGGGCCCCCGCCTAGGAGAATATCAAAATCGACCCCTCCTTGAGGAAGATTGGCAAGGCATTCCTAGATTGTTGAAGGAGGAGAATCTTGGAACTTGTGGTGTGGATGTAGAAATTGGATTTTCCGATACCCCAGGTGAGAGATTGGGAAAGATCGAGGCCAAGGTGAAAGGAAATGGGGCGGTGGGTGGAATAAGGTTGGTTGGTCGGATGTGGGAGGAGATAAAACCTTATCGTCGTGTGACTGATTCTTTAGATGGAATGATGTGAGATTGTTGAGAGGAATAGAATGTTTGTTATGTTATTGTTAATTCTTCGCATGTATCGTACCTGAGTAGTATTTGGAGGAAGTCAATCGAGTCTTTCTTTGAGGTATACTGGATGATTAGCTTCATGATATCTATACGCATAAGGTTGTCGTTAGAGTCAATGTAGTAGTAGCTTTCTCTTTCTGTTATTCTTTCCAAGGTAACAATAGATTGATCTTGATATACAAACCTTTGCTTCACCTCTGTTCTATTCCTCGATACCTACCGACTTATTGTGTAGCCAGTACCTCCTCCATCAACCCAAAAATCATAACAAATCGATTGATCCCTTCTCTTTCGATGATCAGACGACATTTCCAAGATCTTATGTACCTAAGTATGTACCACACATGTGCACACATGTCGGTAAATGAGATAAAATATCTTAGCAAACTCATGCTGATGCTCCACAGCAAAGTTCCACATACACTTAGTTAATGATGTGGGCACCAACCAACACTATAATTTTACGGTAGCTCAATGAGTAGTGAAACCCTTCCGAAATGGTCTTGGACGGACCAATAGTTATATTTTAGTGGTATGTAGGGAAATTGGGGTTTGAGGGTTGTCAAAATTTACGAGGACTAGGGACAGTAGACTGCAGTAGGAGAAGGTTTGGATGATGTCTGAGGGTTTATTTTGAGGGTTTGTTCTGAGGGTTTGTTCTGAGGGTTTGTTCTGAGGGTTTATTTTGAGGGTTTGTTCTGAGGGTTTGTTCTGAGGGTCTGTTCTGAGGATTTATGTTCCAGAAGATAGAAGGAGAGAGAGAACAGAGTGAAAGCAAGAGGAAGAGATAATTGGCGTTCTTCCGGTAAACCAATCAAGGTATGAAGCTGGGAAGGGTTTAATGCATTTGTTTGAGTTGCATGAAATCCTATGTCATACTTTCTACTGTATATAATGAATGATCGTGATGCTACCTCCCTAGATAGATAGACATACATTGAATCCTAGCAAACTCAATCATCAATTGTCCATATGTAGATACATACATCTCGACTTCAATGTTATCACGAATCACCAAGACTCCCCCAAAACCAAAAGAAGGACAAACATCAAATATCAAAGTCAAACATCAAAGTCAAAAATCAAAAATAGTTCTGGATATGGATAAACCGACACCTTTCAAAATTCCACACTTGTTGTTCACATGGTCAGAACGCCAACGCCCTCGCCCTCGCCTTCCAAGCTTAGAGCACAAAAACAACAATGCTTCCTCCTATTTGTTGTTGTGCTCCATCATTTCCATTTCCCATATTTTCTCATGGCCCCTGGTACCGGTTGAGCGTTTGTCGTGCAATGACCCTCTCTTCCTCTCTAGTGTCTCTTCTCCCCCCTATTCATATGTGACTTTGTATATCAGAGAAGGCTGTATACTGCCAAAGTGGCTTATGGTACTCTGTTGCAGTAGGTATGTTGTCACACGCACATATATGTAGAGTTGTAAGAGTATATGTGACTTTCCCTCAGGAAGCAATATTCCTTGCACACATTATTATCCCATGAGGTTGAGGAATCGAAAGATTCGGGACTTCAGAGTATTTTTTTTGGAAGTGGACGGTCAAATCACATATTCATCCCTGACCATGGTTAGGAGATAAGAAAAGCTTTGATGGTTAGAATTGGTCTGTGTTGAATATATTCAATGATTTTCAAAAATCCATCATCAATCATCATTGGAACCCCATTTTTAATTTGGGATAT